GTAAATCCATGTAGCAAATCCCTGAGTGCATCTTCCCGCACTTGGGGCACTGGGACCTCTGCTTCTGCTAGGATCTCCCTCCTGACCGACCCTGCTGGTGGGGTCCCCTGCTACCTTGACTGGGCCTAAAACGACTCCATTGCTGCTGCTGGCTAGGCCCTGATGGCGGTGCACTGGCTGAAGACTGTGCGACAGACTGGGATGGCCCTAATGATCCTCCCCTGAAAGCTGATCTTCCCTCACCTAGTGACTCTCCCATGTTTCCCAGAGACCGGGCCTTGCTTTTACCTCTCTCTCTCTCCATCTTGTTCTTCAATTTACGGTTCTCTGTGGCCTGAGCAAATGCCACCATCTTCCCATAATTCATGTCAGAATTCAAGGCAACTGTAGAAGCCTCATTAATAGTCAAAGGATTAAGGCTTTGAACAAACCGGCACCCTGGCCTCCATTGTGGGCAACATGTGAATGGCATACTTGGACGGCGAGAAAACTCCAACACACTTCTGCTACCTTGCTTTAGATTCTCAAACTCTGCTGCACGGGCTGCCCTTGTCTCAACAGGCAGGAAATAATCTACAAAGGCATCAGCAAACTCGCTCCACCTTGCCGGAGGGCTTCCCTCCTCATGGGAATCTTCCCACAACTCAAACCACGAATAGGCCACCCCTTTAAGACGATAGGAAGCTAACTCTACTCCCTCTGTTTTAGTTGCATGCATAACCCTGAGGGTCTTGTGCATCTCATCAATAAAATTCTGAGGGTCCTCTTCTGGATTTGCACTCGTAAACACTGGAGGGTCTAGCTGAAGAAATCTGTTCACCCTGAAACTAGTGGAATCCCCTTGCTGGCTAGATGAACTAGGCGCAACATTTGACCTCTGGGCTTGAGAGGCCACTAGCTGAGTCAGCATCTGGATAGCTCCCCTAAGATCCCCATCAGAGATACCGAAACCAGAACCTAGGGCTGGAGGCGGAACATGAATATTAATGGGAGGGACAGTAGCACCCTCAACAGAGGTAGGAACTGGTGCAGTAGAACCAGACAGTGTAGTAGTCGGGGAAATTTTCTCACCCCTTCGGGTTCTCACCCGCATCATCAATTACAGAATCGACTGCCGCTCCTGGGGCAATATTGGCTTCTTAGCCAGTTCTGGCTTTCTTCTTTGGTGCCATGTACTGAAAGTTGAAGGAATGCACTAGTTAGAGGGGAAATAGTTTGATAACAAGTTTTGCTGCACGATCCAGAATATCAAAGAAGGGTGTTATTCCTAAATGCCCAAGTAGCCTCTAACTTATAGATGTGGTCGACTACACACCGATAAGAAGGACACTACTATACACGGCTCTGAGACATCCTAGGACACTTTAAAACCTTAGGCTCTGATACCAAGTTTGTCATGCCCCAACCTCGGGAGACGCGACCGATGCTCAATCGAGAGACCCCAACTGAGCAAGCGTTTTTGGACACCTTCTACCCAACTCACTATAAGTAAGGAACCATGCTTCCATTTAATTATACAATAAGAAATATCATTCATACAACATCGCTAATTCATTTTCTATTACAACCCTTACCATAGATATGTTCCCAAAATATTACGCAGTTACAGTTTAGAGAAAACAAGAGTTTAGAATTACAACATAGTCTAGTGACCCATCCAATGCCCGTACCTAACCCACACAAATGTCTACGGAGCCTCTAAGGATATAAAGGACAATTATGATAATGCCGGCAACAAGACCCCAACTATACCTCAAAAGTGGAAATTTATAACAAAAGGTGTACAACATAACCCCTAAAGGAAGAGGGGCTCACCAAGACTTCTTAGAGGAGAATGCTCCACTACCTGCGATCAGCACTCTCTGCTATGGAACCACTTACATCCATTCAAAAGATGTAGTGCCCCCGGCAAAAAGGACGTTTGTACCATGGAATAGTACTAGAATGTATAACTAAATACCATCTTATTAGAAAGAACAACCATACAAGAATAAAGGAATCATAAGGACTAACAAAAGCTTCAAACAATCACCACGTCATCAAATAAAAGGGTTCACATAGCTTTCACATAATTTCCATAACTTTAGGTTGGGACATTTCATACTGTTGCATCATCATTCACAATACCACCTCTTTCTTGTGCGGAGTCCGATCACGACTCGATCGACTAGGTTGCCTCATTTGAGACATGTACCTTAGTCACAATTTCATTCTCACTTTTTGGTTTCAATATCAGTACAATACCACCATGTGTGTAGCATGTCGTCCAATCACGGCCCGATCGGCTAGGCCGTCTTACCAAGACATTGTTCCTTTTCTATAAATCATCTCATTACAATCTTTATTTCACATATATCAGTTCATAGGTACTTGGGGCCACAGTTATCACACCATACTTGGCACTAGGCCACATTTCATTATTCAAACTCTTTTCCCCCACGTTTCACATCATTTCTACTTTCAATATTAACCTTGCAATTTGAGATAATAGGCACATACAAGAGCAATTCAAGTTGTAAGCATAGAGAGGATTTCACATAGTTTGGCATAACAATCTCAATTTTAACTTGACTTCAAATCTAGGCATTTTAGCACATAGTTCACATTCTTCACACATTCTCCATTTACCAAGAATGGCATATTATGCACATTGAAATACACCTTACACATATAATCTTGCAACAACATTTCACTTGAAATAACAAGTACTACATTTATAGATTTTCAGACTTACAACATTTATATGGATGCCATGGGAGCTCAATTTCTAAGAAGAGGGGGTTTTAGCCATACATACCTAAATAGAGTTTTCCTTAAATTCTTACAATAATTTCGCAACTCCTAGCAACTTCGATCTATTTTATGAGAATTACAAGTTGAACCAATAATTAGAGGGATAATCAAGATTCTAGCTCATTTGGGAACATTATCAAGTCCTAAGTGGGCATTATGATTTTTAAGACTTTTTTGGTGAGAGTTTCTATCATCCTACACCCCATTTGTTATATTTTTAGCTCATAGTCTCCCCATACCCCTTTATTACACATGCATGCAAGAAAATCCATCCTTATACCCATGAACCCACTTGTTAATTACATATTCTAGTATGAATAGGGTACAAGTTCTTACCTCTTAGGATGAAGGATTAGAAACTTTACTTGATAATCTTCAAAGACTTGGGCAAGGAATTAATAATGACTTAGTGAGGATCATTTTCTCCCTCTAGAACTCTTTCTCTCACTCTATATGTAGTAGAAAATGGCACAAGAGAGTCTAATGGGGTGTTTTTAACGGAATGGGGTCGGGTTTTAAAAGATTAAAAATAGGAGCCCCGACTCAATCTACGGTCGCATATGCGATCGCATAACTGACATGCGGCCCGCAAAAGGGACCGCAAAAGTAGCCCTCAGACTTGAATGTACTGTCGAGTATGCGACCAAAAGGTATGCGGTCCGCATACCTATTCTGCGGTCTTATAACGCACCCGAGAACGGCCCTTCGCAAAAATTCCAAGGAGGTTATGCAACGACTATGCGGCCCGCATATCGATTATGCGATTACATAATTGGCCGCACAGTTGACCTCAAAATTAGCCAGCATACTGACTCACCCTGCGGTAGATATGCAACCCGCATTGCTGTTATGCGATTACATAATTGGAAATGCGCTCTTTTGAAAAACATTTTTCCTTAAATTTTAATGTATAGATCAGTCCAAAAGGTCCGAGCCTTTTATAAATTTCTAACATATATTCTTAACTTGGCACTACGAGATTTCGGGTTTTTTAGTAGAAATTTTAGGGGGCCTTACAATATCAATCTTTGAAAACACGTTGGCACCCTGAAGTTGATCAAATAAGTCATCTATCATCGAAAATGGATACTTGTTCTTGATGGTTACCTCATTCAACTGTCGATAATCTATACACATCCTCATTGAACCATCCTTCTTCTTCACGAACAGCACTGGTGCACCCCAGGACAAGATACTAGGTCTCATGAATCCCTTATCAAGCAAATCCTACAACTGTTCCTTCAGTTCCTTCAACTCAAATAGAGCCATACGATATGGTGGAATAGAAATGGGTTGAGTGTCCGATGCTAAGTCAATATAGAAGTCGATATCTCTATCAGGTGGCATCCCCGACAAATATATAGGGAACACCTCTGGAAACGCGCGCGCAACTAGTATCGAATCCATGGAAGGAACCTCCGCACTAGGATTATAGATATAAGCCAAATATGCTAGATATCCCTTCTCGACCATATTTCGAGCCTTCACATAGGAAATAACCTTACTAGTAGAATGGCCAAGAGCCCTCCTCAACTCTAATCGGGGAAACCCCTGCATGGATAAGGTCATTGTCTTGGCGTGACAGTCCAAAATGGCATGATAAGGTGACAGGTAATACATGCCCCAAATATATAGCATCAAAGTCCACAATATCAAAAAGTATAAGGTCTACACTAGTCTCTAAGCTCCCGATAGAAACCACACACGAGCAATAAACACGATCTACTATAATAAAATCTCCTATAGGCATGGACACATAGACAAGAGCACTCAAAGAATCACGAGGCATGACCATATATGAAAAAAATAGAATGACACATATGAATAGGTAGATCCTGAATTAAATAAAACTGAGGCATCCCTATGGCAAATCGGAACAATACCTATGATGATGACGTTAGATGACTCCACCTCAGGTCGAGCTGGGAATGCATAACAATAGGGCTGGGCCCCATTACTTTGATCTCCACCTCTCGGATGGCCTCTAGCTGGCTAGCCTCCACCTCTAATAGCATGACCTCCACCTCTAGCTACCTGAATCGCCTCTAGCTGGTTGTGCGGGTGGTGGAGTGATAATAGGCCACATAGACGATATTTGCACCCTAATAATACCATGGTTTATTGTTGTTTTATAGGCTACATGATAACAAAATGCTCTAATTGGTATTCGTTTGCTTCGCAGGGATTAATCCAAGTTAGGAAGAACTATGGAGTGTTTTGGAGTCAATAATGTGAAGAAAACGTCCAATCAAGAAGCACCCGAGTGGAAAGAAGCAAAATGTGGATTGGGTTTGAATCCACCACGACTGCGGTGGACAGTGGTTGGACGCGACATGCCACAGACACGAGGCAGAATGTTTGGCTCTCACTGCGGTCGCGCCGCGGTCTACCGCGGCCGCGGTGAACTGTGCAGTTGCCAAAAATTTTGGGGACCAAAGTGTAACTCAAAAAAACTTATTCCAAACCTTTATAAACTCTAGAAGCTTGCCCAAGAAATCACTAAGCTTGTTTTTAGAGTACTTTAGAGGCAAGAACAAGTATGAGAAGATCAACCAAACATTAGAGTTTTTCTATCTTCTCTTTATTATTGCAATTTCGCATTATGAACAATTTAGTAGTTTTCTCTTGCTTTGTTATGAGTAGCTAAACATTTAATCTAGGGTTCATGGAACCAATTGTTGGATGAGGTTTTGACTCAACTTTGTTATAATCGAGCCGAATTTATTATATGATTGTTCAACTACATTTTGTATGGTGATTAATTAAATGGGCCCTTGATTAATCGTGTCTAATTGCCTTGTGTTGCTTGAGAGAGAATACTAGGTTAGATTGCTATTGAACAACATCACTTTTGGGTAATTGAAGAGATTCATTACTTGAACTTAAAAGTGGGGTTAGAGATAACGAAACTTTTGTAGGATAATTCAGAGCTGCACGATTTGTCAGCTAGAGTAGTTCGAGAGAATGCTCTAGTAAATTATCGTAGTTGATGGAGAGATAATTACGATAACCCATAGCCCATAATCCTCATAGAAGTATTACGGCGAGATTATAGCCAAAGAGTTAAGACTTAAACTAGCAATTGGGGAAATCAATACCCTAGACCTTTTTACCACTGAATTATCTTTGATTTAGCTTATTGTTATTTTTAATATCATTTGAAATAGTAAAAAAAACAATCTTTATTGATAAAAATCTTGCATCTGAAAATTGTTTGAGTTGATAATAGCATTGCCAAGAGTTGTAATAGATAGGTTAGTTCCCTGAGAATTCGACTCCGGAATTAAAACCGGATTATGTTTGCAACGACCACTTTGTCTTTTAGAAGGCATAGTTGGGCGTGATCAAATTTTGGCGCCATTGTCGGAGAATTAACGGTGTTATTTATTACAACTTAGAAGTAGGGCTGGAATTATTAGTTTAGATAAAATTTCTAAGGTGTTAAACAATTTTTTTTCATTGAAATTCTCATGTTTGAACTCTTGTGAGATTCAGGTGTATGCCTAGGAATTCTTCGAGGACTGGAGAACTGCTTGAAGGACTCTCAGACCCCGAGAAAACATTCAGGCATTGAACCATGCCAACAAGAAGAACAAATAATCACAACAAACACACCAACTTGAAATTGACATGGGTGACGTAAACAATGTTGACGGAAACATCAGGGATGAGCCAACTGACCCAAAAGTCAGAGTGGTGGCACCTCTTGTGCCAGAAGCTGCACTTTATGAATGGGCACAACTAATAGCTGACAACCTGGCCATTGCCATTGTTGTGCCCCCAATAATAGCGAGACATTCCAGATCACCAATAACATGCTACATCTTTTGTAGAATAAGGGACTGTTCTCCGGGTCATACATTGAAGACCCTCAACAACATTTGAAAAAATTTCTGTCGATTTGTGTGACCCAAAAGCAGCCAAATGTGACCCCAGAAGCTATTAAGTTGTTACTGTTCCCGTTCTCTGTGACTGGGGAAGCTCAGACTTGGCTGAATTCGCTCCCAATAAATTCCATTATCACCTGGGAGGAATTAGTCAAGTAGTTCCTGAACAAGTTTTACCCGCCCAACAAGACTGCAAGACAGATTGATGAGATACAACAGTACAAGCAGCAGCCTACTGAGACCTTGCAGGAAACTTGGGAAAGATTTAAAGGGATGCTAGTGAAGTGTCCCCACCATGGTATTCCAGACCAGATGCTCGGCCAGAGATTCTACATGGGGTTAGCAGACAATCTAAAGGCCAATGTAGATGCTTTAGGTGGGGGTGCATTTCTGAGTAATACATTCACCGAGTGCAAAATCCTTCTTGACAAGATGTCCCAGAATTCGAGGTGGATGACGAAGGGCACAACACTAGCACTAATAGTGCATTTAGTTCTTCTTGACCCAAATAATTCGCATGCAGAGAACATAGCCACACTCATGACTCAGATGAGTATATTGACAAAGAAGATTGATGAGGTGGGTACAAAGCAAGTGCATATTGTTGACAAAACAAATGGAGGATTGTGTACACCCTGCATTAATTAGTCTTATGTGTGTTCATGGAGTGGATAAGGTGACAACCAAAGGTTAAGAGAGGATATGAATTATGTCAACAACTTTTGGGGTCAGAGACAAGGAGGACAACAATGGAGACCAGCAACCAATCAGTAGTACAGACCAATACGACCAGGAGGTATGCAACCCCTGTGACAAATGGTGCCATATCAGAGACAACAAGGCTATCCGCAGCAGAACCAACAAGAATTGGCATATCATCCACCTCCTCAGCAACAAGATAACAACATGGTAGAGATCAGGGTTATGCTTCAACAACTCATTGGAACAAATGGTAAGATGTAGGAAAAGTTGGTAGTGCATCACTCAGCAATAAAGAACATTGAAACTCAATTGGGACAGCTCTCCATGGCCTTAAAAAACTGCCCTCAGGGAACATTGCCAGCAAACACGAACATCAACCCCAAGGAGCAAAACCTGAATCAGCTGATGGTCGTAAGTCTCCGGAATGGGAGAGATTTAGACAGGGAGCAAGAAGTTGCACAATCTAGTAAAGAGACTACGCCAGCCACTCCAGTTCCATTGGAGGTAGATGAATTAGCAGAACTTACTGAAGTGGTGGTTGAACAGGTTCAGGATGATAAGGGTAAGGCTAAAGAGAGTGAACAAGCTGCAGAACAAGTGGTACCTCTTGTACTAAAAAACCCCAACAGAGAGAAGCCAGCTAGCAGTGCACAAAGGGTGATACCTGCACCATTCCCTCAGAGACTGGCAAAACAAAATAAGGAAGATCAATACAGGATATTCATGGAGATGCTTTGTCAAATTCAATTGAATATTCCTCTGATGGATGCTTTGATAGAGATGCCAAGCTATGCAAAGATGATGAAGGACCTAATGTCACAAAAATTTGACTTTCAGGACCTATCCACAGTAACTCTGACACAGACCTACAGTGCAGTAGTGACAAGACCCATGGCTCAAAAGATGTCTGACCCAGGTCGATTTACTATTCCGTGCACTATTGGGAGTTATGCCTTTGCAAAGGCATTATGTGACTTAGGAGCCAGCATAAACTTGATGCCTCTGGCCATATACACCAAAATGGGCATTGGCAGAGCTAGACCGACTTTGATGCTTTTGCAACTAGCTAACTGCACGGTTAAAAGGCCAACATGGATTCTTGATGATGTGTTGGTACAATTGGGGAAGTTTGTATTCCCTACAGACTTTGTTATTCTGGATTTCTAGGTAGATGAAGAGATACCTATCATTTTAGGGAGGCCATTCTTAGCCACTGGGAGAGCACTGATCGATTGTGAAACTGGGGAATTAAAAATGAGGTTGAACGATGAAGAAGTCATATTCAATGTTCAGCAATCCATGAGGAGACCCAGTGAATATGCTAATTGCTCACTAGTGGAGGCGGTGGATGTGATCCTGCACGAAGATGAGACCCTGACTGCTAAAGATCCCTTGGGGGCTTGTCTGACAAATTTAGAGGAGATGGATGGTTAAGGGTTGGCAGAGTGGGTCATGGCACTCGAAGGCCAAGGATTCTGGAAGAGGTAACCTCAGTTCGAGTCCTTGGAGTTAGAAAAGAGGGCTACACCACCAGCAAAACCATTAGTGGAGGAACCACCCAAACTGGAGCTGAAACCACTCCCAGCTCACCTCAAGTACATTTTCTTAGGGCCTGATTCTATTTTGCCTGTTATTATATCATCCGGTTTGCTAGATGTATAGGTAGAGAAGCTCCTACAGGTGCTACAGGAATGTAAGACTGCCATTGGTTGGACCATGGCGGACCTAAAGGGTATCATCCCAGCTTTTTGTATGCACAAGATTCTCTTGAAAGAAGGGCACAAACCTTCCAAAGAACATCAATGAAGGCTGAACCCAAATATGAAAGAGGTGGTGAAGAAAGAAGTGATCAATTGGTTAGATGCGGGTATCATCTTCCCCATCTCAGACAGCAATTGGGTCAGCCCTGTTCAGTGTGTGCCAAAAAAGGGAGGAATGACGGTTGTACAAAATGAGAATAATGAGTTGATCTCGACTCCTACAGTCATAGGATGTCGGATTTGCATGGATTACCGGAAATTGAACATAGCCACCCGGAAGGACCATTTTCCCTTGCCATTCATTGACCAAATGCTGGACAGGTTGGCTGGGCGATCTCACTTCTGTTTCTTGGATGGTTATTCGGGGTACAATCAGATCTCAAGAGACCCAAAACATCATTCACTTGTCCGTACGGCATCTTTGCCTTTCAGAGAATGCCTTTTGGGCTTTGTAATGCACCGATGATATTTCAACGGTGTATGTTAGCCATTTTTACGGACATGGTGGAGGAAATTATGGAGGTATTTATGGATGATTTCTCCGTGGTGGGGGATTCATTTGAGGACTGTCTTCACAACTTAAGAAGAATTCTCAGAAGATGTGTGGAGACAAATTTAGTATTGGGAAAAGTGCCATTTTATGGTACAAGAAGGGATAATCTTGGGGCATCGAGTGTCCAGTAAGGAAATCGAGGTTGACCATGCTAAGGTTGATGTGATTGAGAAGTTGCCACCGCCTACTTCAGTCAAGGCATTGAGAAGTTTCCTTGGGCACGCCGGGTTTTACAGGCGATTCATAAAAGATTTCTCTAAGATTGCTAACCCTTTATGCAAACTCCTTGAAAAGGAGCAGCCATTTGTGTTTTCTAATGATTGCAGGTTGGCATTTGAGGAGCTGAAGAAGAGATTGGTGACTACACCCATCATTGTTGCACTCAACTAGGAGCAACTGTTCGAGCTCATGTGCGACGCAAGTGACTATGCTATAAGAGCAATCTTGGGGCAGCGAAAGGATAAATTGATGCACCCGATTTTCTATGCAAGCAGAACGCTAAGCGGTGCACAACTCAATTACACCGTCACAGAAAAGGAGATGTTGGCTATCGCTTTTACATTTGACAAATTCAGGTCATACTTGATTGGCTCAAAAGTTATTGTTTATACTGACCATGCAACAATTAGGTACCTGATAGAAAAGAAGGAGTCAAAGCCACACTTGATTCGTTGGGTTCTTTTGTTACAAGAATTCGATCTGGAGATCCATGACAGAAAAGGGACAGAGAACCAAGTAGCTGACTACCTCTCAAGGTTGGAAGGAGCTGAAAAGAAGGTAGAGGTTGAGGATATAAAAGAGACATTCCCGGATGAGCAGTTACTAGCAATGACAATGGAGGAGGCACCGTGGTATGCCTATATTGCTAACTATTTAGCAAGTGGTATTGTACCTTATGAACTCTCTTCAATTCAAAAGAAAAAGTTCTTTTGTGATTGTCGGTCTTATTATAGGGATGAACCTCTACTGTTTAAAATATGTGTAGATAACATGATCCGGAGCTGTATCCCCGAGAAAGATCAACATTCTGTTTTGCAGGCTTGCCATGCTTCACCATATGGTGGACACTTTGGAGGAATTCGGACAGAAGCTAAGGGGTTGGAGTCGGGCTTGTATTGGCCAACTCTGTTCAAGGATGCCCATACTTGGGGTCAAAAGTTGCGATGAATGCCAAAGGACAGGCAACATATCTCGTCGACACGAGATGCCAATTACCACAATTCAAGAGGTGGAGGTTTTTGACATGTGGGGGATCGACTTCATGGGGCCATTTGTCAGCTCATATGGTAACAATTACATATTGGTAGTAGTTGACTATGTTTCCAAGTGGGTTGAAGCAGTGGCTCTCCCAACCAATGATGTAAAAGGGGTAACATGCTTTCTAAAGAAGAACATCTTCACACGTTTTGGCACCCCGAGAGCTATAATCAGTGATGGCGGAACCCATTTCCGCAATAGAACGTTCGCACGGCTGTTGGAAAAGTATGGAGTTCGTCATAAAGTGACCACCCCGTACCACCCATAGTCGAGCGGGAAAGTTGAAGTGTACAACAGGGAAATTAAAAGTATCCTTACAAAAACAGTGAATGTAACAAGGACTGATTGGACGAAGAAGCTGGGTGATGCATTGTGGGCGTACCGGGCAGCCTTCAAAACTCCAATTGGTATGTCACCATACAAGTTGGTATTTGGAAAGGCATTCCACCTTCTGGTAGAGCTCGAGCATAAAACACTTTGGGCATTGCGGCAGTTGAACTTGGACATGGAGATAACAGGAACCAACAGAGTCACTGGGTTACATGAGCTAGAGAAATTCAGGTTCCAGGCATTCGAGAGTGCTAGATTATACAAAGAAAGGATAAAACTAATGCATGATAAGCACATTGTGGACCGAAACTTCAAATCCGAAGAGCTCGTGTTGTTATACAACTCAAGATTGAGGTTGTTTCCAGGTAAGTTGAAGTCTCGGTGGTCAGGACCCTTCAGAGTGGTGCAAATGTTCTCAACTGGAGTTGTTGAGATTGAATCAGAAGATGGGACAAATAAGTTCATAGTGAATGGGAAAAGGTTGAAACATTACCTTGGAATGGTAGAAGAGAAAGGGGATAGAGAGGTAACAATGTTGGAAGAGCCCCAATACGCGAATGAGGAGTGATGATCCGAGCCTGCGTCGTGCCGCGACGTTAAATCAGGTGTTGTGTGGGAGGCAACCCACGAATGTTGTTGTTTTTGTTTTCTTATGTAACCTTATAAAAAAATTCCTCACACCGCGACAGCGATGATGGACGAGCATTCTGCCTCGAATTTGCTCAACCCACCACGACCGCGGTAGGACCCGGTGTGTCAAGAACATTCTACCTCAAGTTTTTTAACCCACCGCGAGCAGTTCGTCGTCAGGTAAGTATTTTTTATTTTATTTTTTTTCGTATTCTTTTATTTTCTAATTTTTTACCCCCCCCCCC